TTCCATAAAAATGTTTGTTTTAAACATGCGTTATTTTCATCACCATAACTGGAGCGAGAAATGACAGGTATGTCTGCCGGAAATCACCAGATAGTAGTAAAAGAGCACCACCGAAGAGTCAACTATTGCCGTTTATTGGTGGCATTGTTCTGTGAAAAGCTTCAAGAGAAGGTTTTTGACTCATAGTATACTCATCCCAAATAATAATTGAACTTTTTGTAACACTGCAGCCATTCCGCTTTTGTTTTTAATATTACACATTGCGCTTTGTTTACTGTGAACGTCTAATGGCAGCTTCAAAGCTGAATGCGCCGTTTGTCCACCATCTAACAAAGTGGCAGCAATGCCTGACGATGAAATTGCCAATGAAATCTTTTGTTGTAGCTGTATCTTGGCCAGGATTAATGACACTAAAAATGTCTTACCGGTACCACCAGGTGCGTCTAAGAAAAAAATATACCCTATTTTGCATCAAAAGTCAACATGATTCGATTGTAATTAATTCTTTGTTCAGCTTCAAGTCAACGTCGTCATATTATTTCAAATCAAAACACAAATCTTCTACTAGTAGTAACGTTTCATTGCACATCTTGTTGTGAAATATTTTATCGAATATTTAATTTTCAACAGTCTCTCTAGCTGTCTTGTATTGAAACTGATTATTTGTCTCCGAAATGTTTCAGAATAGGGCTGGTATGGCCATTGGCGCCGATTGAGCAGGGCTGTTGCTCTCACAATCGATAGTTTCATGTATTTATTTGTCACTTTGTAATTCAAGAAGCTCCAACAGAGGGAATTACATGTAAAAATGATCTGCTGTACAAATTCGACTACACCGGAGAGGAATATTTATCTGTAATATTTCCTATAAGTATGAGCTAAAAGTTTGCTCCGCTCTCCGCTAGCATTGACAGGCCCGTAGTCTTCAACTACGTTAAATCTATGTACTAATTCTCGTTAAAGAACCACTTTTTTGTTCTTGCCGTGGCTCTCTGGCATGCTAAATATAAAAATTTGGCTAATCTATTAAATAAGTTTTATAATTGTTCTTAGAAGACTTTTTTAGATGGACAAAAAAGTATTTGTACCTGCCATTAGCTTATGCGTGTTGCTTATGTATATAGTTTAAATATTTTGTATTTGTACCAGATTTGTGTGACATTCCCAATTTCAAAGGGCTCTGTCTTGATTTGTTGTACTTCACTCTAATTTTGTGTTAGAATTTGTTACACAGCATTTACTTATTTTTATTATTTTCTGAAAGTTTGCAATCTAGCAACTTTGTCAACTTTGTATTTTTGCGCCCTCTACGCAGAGGTGGTTTTACGTATACGCACAGTAGGCTTATGCCTACGGCGGAAAATTTTTATGGGAGGCAAATATTCAGAAGCGCAAAATTTTCTTGATATTTTCTAAAAAAAATTTAGGTTCTCCAAAAATTAAAACAGCATAAATCATATTTTTATTTTAAAAATGATTTAAGCGAGATTAAAGCCGGCCCCTTAACCATTGATTTATAAATTAAGTTTGAATTTGAAATGGGGACATTTTCAATGTTACAGAATACATGAAAAGAATTCGCCAACGACTTCTGATTGGTTGATTGATAAGAAAGAATTACAATCTTGAAGTAATAAGTTTGAATTATCCAATCAGAAATCGCTGTCGGATTTCGCCTTGTATTCATATTGCGCTATATAGAAAGTAGCGACATCTTTTACTTCTTGAGTTAGTTCTAGAAGACGGATCTGGAAATAACCCTTTTTATTTCTTTTGTTACTATTGTTGTGTATCGTTTATTGTAAGAGCCTACTGAGTAAAAATGATATTTTCAAGTTTTAAAATGAGTGATTATCGAAAAAGGCTCAGCAGAAGTCCATATGCAAAAATTCGAAAAGAAATTGAAGAGAAATGTCAAAATGAAATTGATAAGAAAAAAATTAAATAATTTAATTCTTTAAACCTATACGTGAAACTGATCACTGCTGCCGTTCATTCGACAATTCTATTACTGAGTACTATATAAACATATAGACTACTATAGAAACATATAGATTAGATAACATATTTAGTTTTCAGCTTGTATTATAAGTTGTGATAAATAAATGTTAACATTAATATATTTTTAATGCAGAGTTGTGTTGCCAAAATATTTTCAAAATGCAAAAAATATTTCCTACAATGGTTAGAAATTAAATACTCTTGACGTGGTGTTGTATTCGTTAAAAGGAACTGTATCTTAATATAGAATTTAAATAAATTAGCATCAAATATGTTTCTATAATTATGTTACTACACTTTATTTTATATAATATGTAATAGTACATATAATATTTTGACTCTTTTATTTATTCAGTGTTATTACTGAATCTAATAATGAGACTGCAAAGTTCCAAACAGCACAAAAAAGGAAATGGTTCCTCAAGCAATTGAAAATATAACTGCGATTGATTATGAGTCGACGATACAACCGATGTAAATAGTTTAAGGATTTTTTTTGTATTTTCTTTTTTAAATAAATAGGATTTCTACAGAATGTATACAACTGTAAAAACATAAAATTGATGAAACCATTACTTCGAATGATCGGTTTTGTTGAAAAAGCGATCCAGCTTTGTGGTTTATTAATGAAGCTACACGTGATTATGTTGCCAAGCATGGGTTCGAACAAAACAGAAACGCTGACTTTTCTAAATCAAGAAAAGAGTACAATGATGGCGAAGGTCGTTACTTAACCTCGAATATGTTTCGCTATACGCGTATCAGTAAAGATAAAGTGCCTCGCAAGTGTTGTGTTTACTGTGAGAACTAAGAAACAATCTTCATTGGTATAAAGCAAATTTTAATAGCATTTGTATTTGCTGTTGCGAAAGCAAATATTGTTAGTTTAGTGAAATAGTTTCGATTTTTAAAGCTCTTGAACACTTTGTATAAGAGTTATTTTACGGTGTAGCTGATTCAGTACCACGTGTTCTTTGATCTGGCGTTAGTCGTATCCGTAGATGGCCGGCTATATATTGCTTTACTCTTTTTAAATATTTGGGTTCAATAATTAAAACAGAAAATTGAGAAAATTTTTAACAAAAGTACTCTGGCTAGCAGAAGGATTGCAGTTAACTAGAGTCGTTTGAGAGTCAGAATAGGTAGGCTAAACCAAAGAGTAGTGAAAAATTAATACAAACAAATCCATTCCTATCTTTTTAAGTCCGATGAATCGGAATGAGATTCTCTTTTTAATATGTCTGTCTACCCATTCATCTATCCGTCCGCTTGTCCGTTCTTCTGTCCTTCCGTCTGCCTTAATGACCGTCTAACCGTCTGTTATTCAAGGGCTACAGCACAAAATTCCACATTCCCACAATCATATGTCCAACTGTCCAATGTCACTTTTCCTTTGATCTTGCGTTAGACGTTCTAAAACGGCCGGCTATATATTACGACTAAACAAGACTTTTAAATACATCTAACCGTGATCGTTCGGAAGGATAATTGATTTTAAAAGGTTCATTATTTCCAATGTAGAGAACAATGAATTTAGAATTCGATAGGTTCTTAGAAAGACAATACTGATACCAGAATCAAGAATTTGGCTCTACGAAGGTGTATTTCCATGTTAAAACGATACTAAACGATAGTGATTTTGACTTTTGTTGATAAACAATTGGGTCTGAACTGTCGGAAATGGCGTTTTTTGCAGTTTTGCAATCAGAAAAATGCGTTTTATGATAATTCCGATGGCAGACAGAGGTAGGAAGACTAGGGGTGACAACGTTTTGATAATATTAAGTCGTTTTTTTACATACAACCTTAATAGCAGTTTTATGTTGCTTCCATGATTGTTTGGAATCAAATAGTACGCCCATAATTTTGCATTTTTGCATACACAAGTCCTTTTAAGTTGGAGATCCTTTTAAGTTGGACCCAGTTTAGGATGCACTTCTCATTATCGTCATTTCTTCTTGTGAACACAATAACCTCTGATTTAGTCTTTGATATTGTAATTCCTGCATTAGTTGACCACTTAGTGATTCTATCTACCGATTCTTGCATTATACTTTCAGTAACCTTCAGATTGTTACCACTGCATCAAGGTAATATCATCTGCAAAAAGTGATATTTTCACAGGATCATCTATTGTACTACTTGCGTCATTAATAACTAGAAGGAATAATAGAATAATAGGTCTCTGTAAGGAATAATAGGTCTCTGTAAGACGGGACGAACTGTCTAAAAAATTTACTTTAAGAGATGGGTTTTTTAGGAAATTAATAGTGAATGCTAACATATTTCCTATTATATGTGATTTAGCAAGGGCATATATTAATTTTTGAAGTAAATATGAGATGGTGTCTGAAGTGTCTGAAGTGGTCGTAAGTTCGAAGTCGGATGTCAATGCCTTTGTCAGATTGGTTAATAGGGAAGTCAAGATTGGAAAAGGATTGGGAAGCAGTACAGTCCAAGTCCTTGTAATGTTTGGTCATTTTGTCGCTTTTTCATTTTTGGTCTCGGGACTCGGGTCTCGGGACTCGGGTCTCGGGACTCGTGTTTCGGGACTCGGGACTCGGGACTTGATCAAAGGATGAATTTGACTTGATTTACTGATCCTGTTATTATGGAATAAAGCTAAAGATACCTTAGGGATAACAGCGTAATATTATTTGAGAGTTCATATTGATAATAAGGATTGCGACCTCGATGTTGGATTAAGAAAATTATTGGGTGCAGGAGCTCAACATATTGTTCTGTTCGACCATTAAATTCTTACATGATCTGAGTGTAAGGTGTAACCGGTGTAATCCAGGTTGGTTTCTATCTCTGTTTAATAAATGTATTTTAGTACGAAAGGATTAAATACATTAAATAATTTATTGTTTGGAATTATATTAATTACTATTTTGGCAGAATAAAGTGCAATGAATTTAGAATTCATGAATGTAATAATATTACATGTAGTATTGTTTAATTATATGATAGGTTTATTTTGTTATGTTGTATTAGTAATTTTTGTGTTAATTGGTGTTGCTTTTTTAACTTTATTAGAGCGTAAGGTCTTGGGTTATATTCAGATCCGGAAAGGTCCTAATAAGGTGGGTATAATAGGAATTCCTCAACCTATTGCTGATGCTATTAAGTTATTTTGTAGGGAACAAACTTAGCCTATGATGTCTAATTATTTAATTTTTTTTCCGTTAGTTAGATTATTTTTATCTCTTTTGGTATGATTAAGTTATCCTTTAGGATATGAATTGGTTTCTTTTGGTTTGGCATTATTATTTTTTCTTTGTTGTACTAGTATGGGTGTATATTCTATGATGTTGGCTGGTTGATCATCTAATTCTAATTATGCATTATTAGGTGGTTTGCGAGCTATGGCTCAAACTATTTCTTATGAGGTAAGGATAGCATTAACTTTATTAAGATTTATTATTTTGGTAGGTGATTTTGGTATTAATTTGTTTTTTGTTCATCAATTATATGTTTGTTTTTTTTTGTTAATATTCCTTTATTTTTTGTTGATTTTCTTCTTGGTTAGCTGAAACTAATTGTACTCCTTTTGATTTTTCTGAAGGTGAGTCAGAATTGGTATCGGGTTTTAATGTTGAGTATAGAAGAGGTGGATTTGCATTAATTTTTATGGCTGAATATTCAAGAATTTTATTTATAAGAATATTAACTATTTTAATTTTTTGGTGGTGATTTATTTTCTTTATTATTTTATTTTATATTGGTTTTTATATCATTTGTTTTTATTTGGATTCGAGGTACTTTACCTCGTTTTCGTTATGATAAATTGATGTATTTGGCTTGAAGGATTTATTTACCTGTTTCTTTAAATTATTTGATTTTTTTTGTTTTTCATTTTGTTTGAATAATATGATTTATTGAGACATTTTAGGAAATTAAACGTTAATAGAATATTAATTCTATCTTTTGTTTTCGAAACAAATGCTTTAAGCTTATTTACTTAATTAATTAATTGATCTCATAATTTAAATATTATGGGGTTGATAATAAAGTATGTGAAATATCTGATGGTTAAAATTTGTCCTGTTAAGATATATGGTTCTTCAACTGGTCGGGCACCAATTCAAGTTAATAAAATGACAATCGATGTATAAGTTCAGAATAATATTTGATTAATTGGGTAGAATTGTATTCTTCGGAATTTACTATTAGATATGAAGGGTAATAAAAAAAGAATAGCAATAGATGCAATTAAAGCTATTACTCCTCCTAATTTATTAGGAATTGATCGTAAAATGGCGTAAGCGAAAAGGAAATATCATTCTGGTTGAATATGGACTGGTGTAACCAAGGGATTAGCGGGAGTAAAATTGTCTGGATCTCCTAATATATAAGGATTCGTAAGTGATAAGATAGTTAAGGATATTAATATGATTAAAAATCCTATAAATCCTATGATATAAAGGTGAAATATGGATGGAATGGAATTTTATCTAGATTTCTATTAATTCCTGTTGGATTATTAGATCCTGTTTGGTGAAGGAAAAGTAAGTGAATTATTACGAATGCTGCAACAATAAATGGAATTATGAAATGAAATGTAAAAAATCGACTTAGTGTAGCGTTATCAACTGCGAATCCTCCTCATACTCATTGAACTAAATCAGTCCCTAAATAAGGAATTGCTGATAAAAGGTTAGTAATTACAGTAGCTCCTCATAATGATATTTGTCCTCATGGTAATACATATCCTATAAAAGCTGCAGCTATAACTAGGAATAAGATTAGAGTTCCTGTTATTCAAGTGAACATTAAATTGTAAGATCCATAATATATTCCACGTCCAATATGAGTATAAAGACAAATGAAGAAAAATGATGCTCCATTAGCGTGTATTGTTCGTAGGAGTCAACCGAAATTTACGTCTCGGCAGATGTAACTTACTCTATTAAATGCTATATTTAATGTCAGCGGTATGTGTATGGCTAGAAATTCCTGTTATGATTTGAATAATTAATGTATAATTCCTATAATGATCCGAAGTTTCATCATTGGTTGAAATGTTAGATGGGGTTGGTAAAATCAATTAATGATCTATTAATAATTTGGGTGATGGAGTGATGTGTTCGTAGGGTTATTCATTAGTATGAATTGAATGTCCGTTAATGGTCGCTTCCTGGAAAAGATGTAATTTTTACGATGATAATTAATGTAATTAATAGGTATGTAATTGTAATGATTGTTAAAATGAAATTTGGATAATTGTATAATTAATTTAAATTATTATTTTCTATTGTAATATTGACGATTTATTTATGAAGGAGGCGTTTTTATAAATATGAAATGATAATATATGATTATATATATAATTTATGATTAAGATAGTAATGTTAGATATTGCTAAATTAATAATTATGGTTTTGGCAGGTAATTGAAATATTTCATTCGATGCTAATCTTGTAATGTAGATAAATAATACTAATATCTCCTAGGAAAATTAAAAATAGGATATAAGAGAATCAAAATGA